TAATATATATATATATTATTGTTATTGTTATTGTTATTGGATATTTATCTTTGTCTTACTTTGTAACATTAATCTTGTTAAATTGATTGGTAGTAGACAAATAAGTACTTTTCTTCTTTCGCAAATAGAAATATATCAATTGGTGTGTGTCTTTCAATATAAATAGAGCGGTCACTAACGTTTGCCAGGAAGCTAATATAATTCTATTATCTTTATCATCATCTTCATTAGTATCAGCATTATTGTTATTAATTAATATTAAATATTTATAACATTTATTATTATTAGGCTACTAAGTTTCTTTCTTAATATAAATATAATTTATAAAACGTTTTAAAAAAGAAGAATATAAAAGATATAAAATATTTTCAAGTAAAATAATGTATATTATCTTTCTATCATAGTATATTTATTCGTATAATGTATACAGTATTTGATATGCATTGATAAATAATATGCAAAATCTGACATTCTTTGAGCTCTAATCTGTGATTCAGCATTAGATTTATATATGATTCAACACAAGCGTGAATAATCACACTCACGCACACGTATACACGCGCGCAATGCGTTAGATATGTATTGTACATAATACAAAAAACAAAAGTAAAAAGAAACCTTTAGTCGTTAAAGTTGTCAAATTTGTTAATTTAAACAATTTATGTAAGTATTTTTTGTGAGATAAGAATAATGTTTTCTGTCGCAATTTTTTATATTATAGGACAATTAATAATGATAATTTAACAATAGGTAATTAAAAAGTATAAATGAACTCAGTTTTAATATATTGTTCCTTATCGTTGTTGTGTAAATTTAAGTGTGTATAATCAAGAATTAAGTTTATAATTCAATGCCGCGATGAAAAAGAAAGAGATATTCAATATTGGTTTATTTTAATTTTTATTATTTCTTTTTCTGTTATTTCTTCTTTCACTTTCTCGTTTAAATAAAAGTCTTCTATATTTGTCTTTTTGCTTGCTCAAATGAGATATTGTGTTAATACGTGAAGAGATCAATGGCGCCAATAAAATGACGAAATTTCTTTCTAATAGATTTATATCATTGTTACTGATTGCGAGAATGAAGAAGTTCCACGTTTTATCAAGGGAATGGAAGATCGATGTTTCTTATCGATTGTTATAATGTATTTGAAAAACCATTAGTCATGTTTCTTTTTTCAATAGAAAAGTAAATCATACAATTATACCCTAGTAAAGTTTTTTACCATTTATAAGTAATTTCTTATCATTAGAATGAAATTTTGTAAGATAATGCAAATAACTTTCACACAGTGATATCAGTTCCGCATTTTTTTTTATACTCTGTAGAATCGCGTTAAACTGTATTATCTGTCAGATTAGTAGCTAAAATTCTTTTCTGCTACTTGTTAGGTAAATTGTGTTGTCATTCGCGAATAGTGTGCGCGCGTGTATTATGTGTGTGTGCGTGTGTATATATATATATACGTTTAATACTTTATATTTTTACGTTTTTCTACACGTTATTATGTAATCTTCTTTGAATCTATTTTTTCTCAATTTTCTATAGAAACTGCTAGAAAACGTTAAACATATCTCTTATTTATTACATGACACATATTTATAATGAAAAGATAACTATTGTAAATGTGTATTTATATATATGTAAATATACGCGTGTATAGAATTATACGTAACGTGTCAATGATTCGTAAATAAATTTAGTTATATGTGTATTAATCATTTTATAGTATCTATTAAGCTGTTTAATTATGCATGCTGTTCCCACGAATGAGTGAATGAAATATATAATATGTTATACTCGCATTTGGTCTGTCTCTTTGCGTTTCCGAATCTGTGTATATACAAATGTATACATAAATATATACGTTTTTTAATAAATACAATAATATTAAGAAAGACAAAATGCGCTGAGTCACAATCTGCACGATGTCACTAAATTCGATATTTCATTTTACAAAAAAAGACGTAATATATTTATAAAGCTGTTGAGATAACGCACTAAGCAACGTATACGTTCGGAAGAGATAAGATATGATTATTGTCATATTTTAGCCCTTTCACAAACTAATAATATAAGCAACAAAATTTATGTATTTTTCTTTCTTTTTCTTTTTTTCCTGCTTGTATCTGCAAGGTTGAATTTTGTTACAAATAGTATGTATTCTTTACTTGAATTTATTTAGAATGAATTGTACTTTGTTACTTTGTACATATATGACGCATTCTTTCATTAATTTATTACGAATGGGGTAGGTATATATACATATATACATATATACATATATACATACATATATCGTATAATATTTTATATGTATAATATTAAATATTTTTCTTCATTTTTTTATCATGTTATTCATATATTCGATTATAAATGTTGTAATTTTCTCTAGTTCCACTTTGTCTTTTGTTTACGGAAGAGGTGCGTTAACGATCACGATACTATCTTATTATCATGGACGGAAAACAGAAATTTGAGAAGAAAAAGAATCCTCGTGAGGGAGCCAATCCTCTAAGCGCATTAACGTTCGCGTAAGTATTTCGAACTTGAAACAATTGAAAATATATCTTGTTTCTACATGATAAAAAAGAGAAAACACTTGTTTTTACATCCACATATATACATTTACACTATTAGATTTTATTATTAAAGTGTCACGTTGTCGTGATAATCATTGATAAATTTTACCTCGATCTATGTATTGTTTAAACTATATACCTGCAAGGTTGGATATGGATTAATATCTTATTAAAAATTTATCTTTCTATCTGACGCAAATATGTTTTTCAAATAACAAATATAATATCATTTCTTTATTTACGCTTTATGATTTTATAAACGATTATTATCTATACCAAAATACTTAATATATGACTCTTATAATATTTAATACAAGTTATAATTATGAATAAAATATAATTATTACGTTATACACACACTGACTGCTACTTCTTGTTTAATAATCAAGCTAGAATATTTATGAATATTTATTTTTCTTTTCTTTTTTCATTGATAATAAATAACTATAATTTTTACTGTATTTTGAGTATACCAATATATCTACTGTAGTTTTTATCGGGTTATTAATTCCTTGAGTGCTGAATACTTTCGGTAGAAGTGGTTGCAATCGTTGGGGGCGGAATACTTTCTTTTTTGTTAATGAGAATTATGTTGATTAAATGCAAGTTACAGCCAAACAATTATAAAAAAGAAACAAAACAAATAAAAATGCATATATGGGTCCTTCGTTGATACAGACACCTTTCACTGGATGTACATGTGCATCCATAATACTCAAAGGGTTAAAATATAATTAGTACGTTATTGGCCATGTATGTTACGCATAATCGGCATTTGTTTTTTTTAATTGGTGACATGTTTGACTTGCGTTACTATATTGTTTTTTGTTTCAAAGAACTTCTTTTTTAAATGTATATTTAATAATATTTTTCTTCATTTTTATCATGTTATTTATATATTAAATTACATATGTGTTTTGTAACTTTTCTTAATTCGATTTTTTTTCTTTTTAAAACAAAAGTTTCTATATACAATATCTTAACATTATTTTGTGAAATGATTTACTAAACCCTGAAATAATTATACTGATCAGTTAAAATGTGAAAAAAGGTAGAATTACATACTTCAATCAGATAATATATGAATTCGCGAAAGGTGAAATTTTAAATTAAAATTAAATTGAAATTTAATCCCAAGTATAAGAAAAATATTTTTCGGTTTCGTTTTAAAAT